ATTATGAGCATTTTACAAATGTTACTGCACTCCATCCCTGCAACAACTGTGAGGTGGGAGCTCTTATTTTCCTCACTTCATAGCTGAGAAAACTGGGGCACAGAGAGATGAAGTAAATTGCCCAAAGTCACACAGCAAGAATATGGTAGAAATGAGATCTAAACCTAGGCCGTCTGGTTCTTAAGCCTGTAGTCTTAATGATGGCTTAATTCAGCAAGAACTCTAGGGTAGGGAACTAAGAATCAGAAATGCTACCCAGGTTGTTCAAAGTTGCACAGTTAATAAGATGACTGAATGCTGTGAGCTCAGATCTATATAAACTCTCTCAGCTGGCCCCCTTCCCTTGTAGGTCCAACCTCAAAAAACTCCGTGCCCGTATCATGGATGAAAAATCCCACTCCACATTGTGTTTATTTATTCCCTAAAGTCCAGCCCTGCTAGAGGACTAAAGGTTCCTGCTTCCAAGGCAAAAAGCCTGGTGACAGTGGATTAGTGCACAGCGGTATGTCCCACTGGGCATAGGCATGGCCCTGGAAAGGAGGGGAGGGGCCTTTTTTAATACAACCATTTCTGTTTACATCTTGGAGAAGATTGTCCTCACTCATCCTGACTCTTACTGGCTGTTTCTCACATTTTTTTTTCCTTGCTTACTCTCCAGTCTCTCTAAATAATCAATGACCATATAACAGTTCAGTTCAGAAAAACACTTCTAGAAAATAACGGGCTTTTATTTGACAAAGGGTCTTGGAATGATCGCTTTTTCTACTGCATGATTACAGAATGAAAATAGCCCAACCTCAGGTAGCAGCAGAACAGCTCAGTGCCCTGGGCCCTGAGAGTTTTCTTCCTCAACGGCTTCTGCATGGCTGGTCTCTGTGGCCAGATAACCTCTCTAAAGTAGGATGTTTCTGCGTTCGTAAAATAGAAAGTGATTAAATGAACTAATACCTCTCTGATGTCTGAAAAGTCTTTGGTTCTGGAATTGGCAGCTGGCAGAGGCTAGCTCTGTCCTTAACCCGTCCCCTATAGCTAGCCTCCCTTTCCCAGGCAAACTGGTATCGAATAGAATCAACAAGTAGCAAAATACATAATTGATCTCCGATATGTGCTCCTAATTCAGATAAAAAGCCTTCCCTACCCACAGTGCAGAGTGCATGTGACTGATGCATTTTATGGGCAAATTTGTAGGTTTCTGATAACTTTCTGTAAAGAAGTTTTCACGGGGTCTAAACCTCTTGGGGCTCTTTCCGTCTCAAGTTCAAGTTACTTAGATAGTGATTAAGGATGTTTTATAGGCTCTTGTGGTAAATGATAGCATAGAGAAAAAGCATTCCTTGGCCGTGTAATTTAGCAAGACTTAAGCTGTTTGGGTTTTCATCCACTGGGCTTGCTGAGAACTTTAAATGATTAACCTATTTCTCTGCAGCCTGCAGAGGCTCCAACATTTGCATTAAGGGCCCGAGTTCAGTAATTACCCAGCTCAGGTTGCCTTTTTTTTTTTTTTTTTTTTTTAATTTAGAGAACCCTTCATCTCTGTCCATCTGCTTTTTTCCTGGGACAACAGACTCTGGATACAGTATCCTTTTACTCTGCAGTATTTATAAAATAGTAGAAGCCAATGAGACCAAACGGCAAAAGTCTGTTGTTTCTTTAACTCAGTTTATTTGAAATTTTTCCCTGCTTGGTATTTAGCAACTAAGAGCCTATTGAACTTTGAAACGCCCAGCCGTGTCACCTGAAATCTCCAGACTCTGTGCAAAAGATCCCAAACCACAGCCTGGTCGCTCCCGAGGGAAGGAGCACAGAGTGACCTGACGGGACAGATGCGGGCTGCCCTCAGTCAAACGACACCCCCCCCCACCCCCAGCCAGCCACACAGTCCTAAAAGGATTGTGTTAAGTCGCTTTAGAAAAGTAGGCTCTGTGCAAGAGGAACTTGGGAATCCCCCAGGTCCTACAGTTTTGTTACCCAAACAGAGCTCCAAAGCAAGGCAGACTGATGGAGGACGGTTTCCGGGCAACGTTCTGATTTTGCCTTTTCAGGAAAATGGAGGCCTTGCCTGCTCTCTCTGCCCACAGAGTCATCGGACGGAGTCTCCACTAGGAGCTTTCATTTTCGAAGACCTCCTATCCCGGAGAAACTTCTGCGGTGTTTGCCAAGCCCCTTCCTGGTGCTTCATCTCCCTCTGTGTCTGTGTCACCATCCCTCCTCGCCTTCTGTCTGTGGCACCCAAAGTCTTTTTTTTTTCCCCCCCCTGGAATGTAGGTCAGGCTGCTTATTTAAAAATGAAAGTGAGCGAGCCAGAGAGGCCATGCCAGATTTGGAATTGAGGGAGGGTTTTGTGTTTTCTAGGGTATCCCAGGGTGGATAGGGGTGGTTTCTGGGAGTCCACAGTGGAAGCTTCCGGGGGGGGGGGGGGGGGGAGATGGGCTTATAGATATGCCTTAGAGAGCATTCAGAACTGAAGAATCAATGCTTATAATAATGGAACTCATAAAATATTCTAAACCAAGTAGAATTTAGTGCCTCATCATTGAGGCCCAGAGAATCAATTGCACACATCTCCTGGCCAAGTCAGAAGTCATTCAGTACCAATCTCTAAAGAGACAATCTAGATTTCTTGGTGCATATTTAGTGTCCTTTTGAGTCCCTGGAGGCCGTTGGGTCGCACTGGGGGGCTGAGCCGAGTATTAGCAGAATTTTGTTTTTCTCCCAAACTGCGCAGTACTTGCTTGCTCGAGTCTCTGAGGGTTTGGGTCACTGGTCCTAGTGAAAGTCCTGTTGATGTAATTCCAGGGGAGGGAAAGGAAGGAGATAAAGGGCAGCCCCACAGCAGGCCTCCTCAATCTTCTTATCAGGGTCACTCAGCCATCCGTGTCTCAGAGAGATTTCCAGGCCCAAAGTAATTCTTTCATGTTTGTTTTACAATATAGTGGCATTTCCTCAAGTCCCCAGAAAATATGCGCTTTCCACAGAGACCAGCTCCATCCAGTGTCAAGTACAAGTACGAGCTGGACCCAGACAGCCCATCATTTTTTTTTTTTTTCTCCCTTACCACTACCTGTTCGGTGAGAAATCATTTCTTTTCACTCACGCGGAAGAAGTCTGGAGATAGGCCATCCAGGGCTGCCTACTTTCCTACTTTTCTGATATCCCTTGTAAGGGCTGTCCTCGACTGTCCCTCTCTCTGGATGGTTGCAGGACCTTCAGCTACAGAGTGTGAGGTCTAGGGCAGAAGGATGGATGCAGGCAGTCAAGGGGCATATGCCCCTAACTCTGACCCAGGGAACGGGTTTTCTTAAAGGTCACACCCAGAGAGCTCTACTATCATTTCATGGGCCAGATCCACGCCATTTAAGTCACCACCCCCAACCCCACCTGCCACCCCCTAGATGCAAGGGAGAAGCTTAGTTATATTAGGTGGACACACACACACACACTCACACACACACGCACACATATATTTTCTTTCCTGGCACATTGTTGCCCCAGTTGGGAATTGGCTAGCTAGGAAGAAGCAAAAAATGAGATATTTGATGATATGGAAATTAAAAATATCCACCCCATTATTCTGTTGTGAGGACAAAGCATATGTGTGCAATGCACCCAAGCGTGCTTGACGAACCAGGGTGACGTGAAATGGCATTTCTTTCTCTCTCCTCATGCTCCCTTCTCTTCGGGGGCCCCGTTCACAGGCGGAGCACACAATGGAGAATGCCTTGATGCCACAGTGTGGTTCCCATCTAATTACATCCACTGAATAATTTCATCTTTAGGGACAAAAATAACTGCTACGAGAAAAAAAAAAAAAATCAGCCTCCCTCTCATCGTGGACTGAGCGTCTGAAACTAGAAATGGAATTTTCTCGGGAGCCTTCTTGCAGAACTTACAGAAACAACAACTATTAATTCAGATAGAGCCGTCCTACAAGCTGTTAAAAACCCACTAAAAATGCTTTATGATTCTGCCTACATTCTAATTCTGTGAGGCAGCAGTCTCATTTTTGGGTGCCCTGTACCTGATGCTGACCATGTCGACAAGAGTTTACACTAAACTGAAATATAGGCAAACACACACAATTTCTGCATTACTTAAGATCTTTATTACTAAGTAACTCATCGGGGGTGTCAGAGTGTGTTATGAGTCTAAACAGAAAATTGAGATAAATATGACAAGGGAACACGGATTTTATATTCTACTCGGGGTAAGAGGATTTAACCGGTGAAAGCGCATAGCACAGGGAAATGTAATTATTGGATATTGACAGTTCTATTCTGATACTAACAAAATGCGAATCCTGGTTTGGCAGAATCCAGGAAGCAAAGCAAAATGAAATGAAACTAGAGATGTGTGAAACAATCTTAGAAAGTCGGGTTGGTTGGGGGGAGGGCCTCTGGGTTTGTGGCAGTGGCGGTAGATTTCTACTTGGTAGATGGTGGCCTTCTAATTTAGCTGAGTAATTGTTGTTACAAAATCTGAATCTACAAGGCATGTGTAATTTTAAAAATGGATTTTGCATTTCTGGAGCAAGACAGAAAAAAAATGCATTCTTTAGATCTGTGATATTAAGCTTCAGGACAGTTTTACAACCTGGGACCTGAATGAATCTCTTATCCATAAAACAACAGGAATAAAAGATTTGCACACATGCATTTAAAAAAGTTACTTCAGTGCTCATGGTCAAAAGAAAGAAAGAGGGAAAGGAAGGAAGGGAGGAAGGGATGATGGAAAAAGAAAAAAAAAAGGAGAAAAACTCTTTATATACCTACATATTTTACTTTGACTGGTAATCGCACACTCTATGATTCAGTTCAATTTACTTGTAAGCTTTCATTTAAATTGGGGGGGGGCAGAATGTTTCCAGGAACTGCAAAAACAATTTGTGTGTACATATATTTAAATAAAATAAGCAAAGGAAAAACTGTGGCATATGCTTATTGTCCCCTCAGCAACAATGTAAAAAAAAAAAAAAAAAAAAGAAAAGAAAAGAAAAGAAAAAAGAAAGCGAGTAAAGAAACACATTAATTCTGAATGAAGTTAACAACTGTTCAATTTATAAAGCTGAAAGTGACTTTACTCATAGGGAATTGGGCTTAAAGTAATCATGATTAACATCTTTTGACACAGAAATAGAGCATACAAATTTACTTCCCCCAATTTAAGCAATTCCATAACACCTAGCTTATCTGTTTAATAATGTGCACAAAAATCACCTTCATTATATTTCACAAAATCTTCCATTTAAATGATCATTCCAAGTTCAATGGGAGAGTTGTTGAAAATCTAGAATTCAAGTCATTTATGTCTTATAGAGTGACCAAGACAGAAGACATACTTAACTGCTTCTGGGCACAAATAAATTTCTTTCCCCTTGCTGTGCCCCTATGTCTCCCCCTGCCCCCCCCAAAATAATGGTTCCATCCCTTACGTAGCAAGCAAAAGCAGCTACAGTCTTTCAGAACACAGCACAGTTGTCTGAGAAATGTTTCCCACTGCCATCCCTTCCCTCATCCCACCTCTGTGATCCTATCTTCGTATTGTCTTTGGAGAAGATGGGGTTGGGCAGAGGAAGCTCCCTTGCTCGAGAAGCTAGAAATGTCACCATTGCCTTATTTCTGCTCTTCCATATAAAGGCATTTGTTGCCGTCACTCAGGGTGTTTGAGAGAGAAATACTGTTCTGAATAATGTCAACTTTTTTTTTCTGCCATATGAATCAGAAGAAACAAAAACAGCTTCTAGCGCTCTTCAATCATTAACCTGCCCAAGTGGCAGGTGTCTCTATCTCACAGTCACTACCTCTTTCTGTGGATACCAAGACACTATGAGGGGCAAACACCGAGCCTGCCAGGTGATTTCAGTTAAATATCTCAATGTTACAATCTACTGGATGCATATCTTGCCTATCTTGGTTAGAAAGACGTGACGTTTTTTCCAGGAAACTACTATCCATGTTGATACATTTAAAAATTAGTTATTCATGCTGGCTGTCTGTCTTCCTTATGCCAGTATCCTACCTTTGTTCTCCTTTACCAAATAGGACACCTGCAACTAAAGATGCAAGTGTGTGATATAAGAAAAGGAGGTGAAATTTAAATTAATCCATTAGGCTCTGAATAGCATCCCTAATATCAAATTTGCTAACACACACACACAAAAAGTTTAAACGATTGGATACTATGTAATTTTTAGATGATCTTTCACCGGATTTAACCCGCTCTTCTTTTCCCCCAAGTCCGTCAAACGTAGCTACACCGTTCCTTAAAAGCCCTGCTTATAACTACTGGCCTAACGTGACGGGCTACAGAGTAAAATGATGGCGTGGCGGCCCTGGTCATCACAATTTGAACTACATTTGGGATTCTACAGAGATTCTATTTAACGTCACGACAGCTTTCTGATAAGGTGCTTCCTTACACTCATGCACGGCGGAGGTGACGGTCTCTTCTGGGTTCTCACAACTGCTGACAACGGCGATGGCACTAAACGACCTTCTTCTGACCGTGGCGTCCGACGCACCAGATCCTCGGACCGGGGGGCCTTTGTCCGTGTTGTGGAGCTGCTGGTCTTTCCAGTCTAGCTGTTTGGCGCTGCAAAAGGGAGCGTATACCTCAACACTCCCCTCAAACTGTAAGCAGTTCACTTTGTAGTACTTTCTCTTAACTTCCAGGACGTCATTAAACCTATGGCCCCAGAGAATTTCTCGGGGGACGTAGGAACTTCTGGATTGGTGGGAAGTGCCCGTGGAATCACCAGTGTAGATAAATGTCACCAAAATCTCAAAGTTATCTTTGGCCACTGCTTTTCGGTCAAGGGCATACAGAGGGCTCTCGTGGTCAATTTCATGAACAATAGTTACCGGTGTGACAAGGATGATCTGGTCATTGACCAACTTTAGGTCTTTGAATGCCATGGTCATTCGCCCTTCGCTGTCTTCTGTGTAGCGGAGAAGTTGGGCTCTCACTGTGCCTTCTACCACATGGTTTGGCCGGAAATCACCAATGCGCCACATGAGGCAAAGCTTCCCATCCCTCATGCCTATGAGGGCAAAATAGCTAAACCGAATGGTTTGGGCTCTCTTTCGAGCGGTCGCCATTTTGGCCAAGGCGGCTCCTATGATGAAGGTGTTTATGATGCAGCTCAGGATGGATTGAAGGATCACCATGAGCACTGCCACCGAGCATTCTTCGGTGACACAGCGGTACCCGTAACCTATGGTGGTCTGAGTCTCAAGGGAGAATAAAAACGCCCCTGTAAAGGAATGGACATTGTCAACACAAGGCGTGATGTCCGGATCATTTAACAGATCACCATGATGAAAGGCAATTAGCCAAAAGATGGAGCCAAATATCAACCAGGAGAGAATATAAGATAAAGAAAATATGACAAACATATGGCGCCACTTGGTGTCTACAAGAGTAGTGAAAATGTCAACCACATAGCTCCCCCATTCTCCAAAAATGTGCTTGAAGTACACGTTGCAGCTACCATCTTTGTGGAGCAGACGTCTTCTGGCTCTTCTCTTCTCAGCTAGGATGTGCTCTTGGGGGTAGCCTGGGTATTTGGGGTCCATGTTTACACTCGGGTAGCTGCTGCCGTAATAGCTCATCCTTTCCTCTGTCCTTCTGGCATCCAGGTGGATTTTGTACAAGGAGTAGTTCTGTTGCTATTTGTTGATTTAAGTTTTCAGTTAAAACCTGAAAAAAAGAAAATTAAATACGCCTTAGCTTTAGCTTTTAATTTCCATCTTTAGAGCAATTTTCCAAAGTTGAAGCAATTTCATGCCATCCGAAGTGGCAAAGACTTCATTTGAACGACAGAGACACTCAGTATTGATTACTCATTTCAGCTTAGAATTCAACTCAGTCATTATAGGAGCAAAATATGCAATTAGAGAAAATAACATTTTTATATATGCAAAAGGCTTGGGCAAACACTATGATTATCCCAAATGAAGCCTCACTACCTTTCCTGACCTGACATAAACAAAAGTCTTGTTTTTATAGACTCTTCTGGCATGAGGACGCTTAGAACACAAAGCAATCTTTAATGTTGAACGGCAAAATAGAATTCAGATATTTGTCTAGTAGGGTTAGAAGCCTTCTAACTGTTGAAGTCAGTTGGATTTTCTAAGAAGGATGCTAGGAAGGGTTGCCACCTTCACGCTGACATGTAACTTACATACTGAATGCCGCAGACCCTCCCCTTCAGCACCGGCCGTGTCCTCTCTTTCTTCCCAGGAGGTTTCTCTTCCTCGTATACTTCCCAAGACAGAACAGAACTGACAGCACCACTCTCTCAGATTCAAGTCCTTTCCCCTAGCTCCTTTAGTTTTAAGAGGGCAAAAAAATGTTCTTAACCCCAGAGGAGATTAAAAAAAAAGGAAAAAGAAAACCACAAAAACATGCCCAGGTAAGCTTTCAATAAGGTATAAAATTGCTTTTGCTTTTGTCTCATGACAGCATCCTTTTTCTTTCTTTTTTTTTTTTTTTTCTTTTTTCTTTTTGGACACTGCCATCTCTTCTCTTTCCCTCTGAATAGAAGCCGAAAATTTGCCAAAGTTCTAATCTCGTTTCCCTCTTAAAGGGAGCATACTACAATTGGCCCCTTCTCTCCAGCTCTGCAGTATTCCTGATTCTTTCACAGCTATCCATAGGCAAAATCATTTTTCCCCCTCCGAATTCAATCTTTAAAAGATCAAGGCAGAACATACAGTTCCTAGTGCTTTTATCATCCCTAGAATAGGCCCGTGGTTTTCCCAGATCAAGTCTGAAAGTAAGTTTTAAAAATTCAATGTTAAGTGGTTTTGAGTTATTTCTATGCCAAAAAAAAAAAAAAAAGTAACTGTAGCCCAGTGGTTTAGTAATTATTAGAATATGCTTTCTACACACCCTGCCTCTGCTAGATGAGGGAAGGAAGGATAAGGAGGGAGAAAAGAGGTCCCACTAAAGGATCCAGCCCACGCTGCAGAGAAACTAGTCAGAGTCAATACAGCAGCTGACATCGAGACCCACTCGCCTTTGAAACTGACCATCGAGGAATTTAATCACAAAGCTCTTATCTGACACCTTCCCTGAAAAAGGGAGGAAAGAGTTAATTTCCTTCCAGTCAATAAGAATCACTTTTCTTCTTCTCCAGGGATCAGGCCCACTTCACAATAAACACTTTGTTTGATGGACCACTGCAAGGATGAACTCTGCTTTCAGCCAAAAAATCCTGTAAAGCCTGTGCAAGTTTCTCTCCGTCCATCCACACGCCCCCCGCCACTCTGCCCACTAGACCTGCGGATTTGCTTTGACTAGTTACATCTCCGCCTTTGTCCTCTGCCGGGTTTTGGAGGAGATGGTTGTATAATTTCAGGATGTGACCCCGGGCTGACAAAATGCTTACCGGAATGTCGGATGTTAAATGGTTCCACAAATTTGGCCCACAACATGTATCATTCTTGTAGGTTCCTGTCCCATTTGTCATCCAATGACCCTTGACAACAACAAGAAGCTGCTCAAGGTTTCTGGGTCTTCATTCTCTCACCCAACCATTGGAGGCATGAGAATGGGACCTATTATAATCAAAGGCCCATAAGATTTCAAATCAAAAAGTAGATTTCGAGATAGAATTGTTTCCTTGTTAAATGCTCCCAACCTTGTTCCTTAAAGGGAACGGCACACACTGTGGGAGTCTGAGAATAAGAAAGTGCAGTTCATAAATCAAGAGCTACTGTGTGACTCTGCTCTTTTCTGCTGCCAGAAGAAAAAAAGAAAGGTTTTTATTTGAAACGGCATGCAGTGTGAATTCCGGTGGTGCCAACAACTGTTATAAACAAACCATTTTAAAAACACCTTCAACGTTATGCTAATTGGGGAACGGATTTTCAATTAATACAAGCCGTAACTGAGCAAATTTGAGGATGTGGAAAGTCTATTTCTGAATAGTGTAATAGATTCAGGGATACACCTTATGGCTATGAGAATTCTGCCCTAAACCCACCATGCCCTGTGTCCCCACCATGGCCCACCATGTTGAATTGATCATCCATTCATTTCAACTTATCCAGACAAAAGCTTTCAGAATCTGTTCTAGTGCAGACCCTTGATTGATCTTTGATTTTTTTTTAAAGATTTTATGTATTTATTTGACAGACAGAGATCACAAGTAGGCAGAGAGGCAGGCAAAGAGAGAGGAGGGGAAGTAGACTCCCCACTGAGCAGAGAGCCTGATGCGGGGCTCGATCCCAGGACCCTGAGATCATGACCTGAGCCAAAGGCAGAGGCTTTAACCCACTGAGCCACCCAGGCGCCCCTTCCCCTTGTTTTCTATTAAATGATAGAGAAGATTGGCCAATTGCGTGGACATTCTGTATGTAACATTGGTGTTACTTAGAATTAAAACCTGGCTTTCCAAACACCTCCATGCTTTCATAATCATCTTGTCACTTACCATTCTATCCCGAAAAAGCATTTGCAACCTTCCTCCTTCTGCATTTCTCTTTGCATGCTGTTCTCCTTACCCTCTAGAAACTGATAGTGGCTATTTCATTGGGGATAAAATTCCTTTTTTTTATTAAAAATGGGAATCTGAGCACCACAATGACAAAATTGTGGAATATAAAGTGTGGAAGGAAATGCAGAATTTGCAGTTCCCCTTTGTACCAGCTTCAAAGTATTCTGCAGGTGGTTAATGGCCAAGGCAGAAAAAAGACCATGACTTCATTGTCATGATAAGGAGTTCTAATATAGAGGTGTCTAGAGTGAGGGGAGAGGCAGGGTCAGCATGGTGCATCATTTCCCGAGATCTCGTTGTACTAACTTCAGACATTAAAAATAAATAAATAAAAGCTTCTTAATCGACTTGCACTGGTGGGACCTGCTTTTAGTCCTCTAGATCTTTGTATGGATTCAAGGAGAAACCTTTACTGATTTAGCATGTTTCCAACGGGCTACACACATGACAGAATATTTTCAGCAAAACAAGTGACCGACCTGAGTATCTGTCCTCATTTCTCAGTATGGGAAGTGCCTTAATCAGACTCACCCATTCAACAGCAAACCCTCTGTCATTTGCCTATATCCTCTCAAATTCAGCTCTTTACTAAGCAGAATACTCTCGTGGGTAATTCTTCAAACTGAAACTTTTCATTAGCACGTTGAAGGTACAACAAAATGGCTAAAACTTTAGAAAAATCCCATGTCAACTTTAAAAATAAAATCCGATCTTGTCTCTAGCATCTGCTTACTATAAATATATTAATGGGGATACGAATTGTCTGGGTAATTTGAGACACTCCACAAATAATGCTCTAAATACCTCTGGTGAAACTCAATTATTCATGCCCAGGGCCTGTGATATTAACAAGTATCATCTTTAGCATGTCGCTGATTTACATGAAGTCCTTGGGAATCAAGTTACTTTCCTGGCGACCGTGAGATGAGATAAATTGTAGTGGACACTTGAGAGCTGAGGAGGCAGAGTGTAGAAAGTATGACCTAAATTCTGTGTGCAAGTCATTGTCTTTGGGGACTGGCTTGGGTGCAGTTCTGTGGTTCGTGGAGGGGCCTGAGCAGGGGGTGGCTGGAGGGTAGTGAGAGGAGATGTCATCAGATGGCACTTGTGGGTGGGCCCTGGTTGGTAAGGAGGAAAAAAAGAGGGGTGTTAATGGGATGGGACAGAACCCAACAAGTTGGGGTTATTTTGCTCCAAACCTGTCCCACAACTTATTGCCTTGGAATTAAGCCTGAGCCTTGTGTTGCCTGGAATCATCATAAAGAGACTCAGACACAGTTAGGTGGAGTTCTTCCTTCAGCCACCGACCACCTGCTTCACTCAGAGCCCACTAGATGCTGCCCAGACGTCTCCAAATAGACCCTGTCTCCTGCATGGCAAACAGTGTCTCCTTTGTTGACATCTTATGGTGTGCTCGTGTTTCTTCTCAGCTGCTCAGAGCAGGTCTCTGGTTAAGCTACAGCCTTTAACCTCTCTGTTCTCTTCTCCCTCCCAACCCCAGCCTCCAACTCTGGTCCAAATCCTCAAGGACAAAGACCTTTACCTCTTTCCTGATATAATTCTACAATTTCTCCTGAAGCTGGGGCGCCTGGGTGGCTCAGTGTAGGTTAAGTATCTGACTCTTGATTTCCAGCTCAGGTCCTGATCCTTGGGTTGTGAGATCAAGCCCCACATCAGGCTCCGAGCTGGGCTTGGAGCCTGCTTAAGATTTTTCCTCTCCCTCTCCCCCTCCCTCTCTCTTTCTAATTAAAAAAAAAAAAAAAAATTCTGTGCCAGTTTATGATAGGGAAGGGACTCTCAACTATATTAACAATTGAACTGAATCCAGAGCTGGGAAGGAGAAGAAGAAATCTGGTTTTACAGCATTGCGAGTAACTATCTGGAGAGCCTCTTTCTAGCTCATTTTTTTTCTTAAGTAATATCTACATCCTAACCATAAATCCTGCTGCATCCCAAAAGATGCTGTGTTTTATAAAGAAGTAGGAAAAATTCAGAGGCTGGGAGTATGTCTCCCCATTTTTCTGGTATGTCAAGATCATACCAAATTAATAAGAATTATAATTCTACATTATCCTGCCTTAAAAACAAATTGCCTTCAGAAGCAATTGTGTGAAATAAAACGTGTTTGGGTCTTGCAGAGAAATCAGGAATTGGGAGGCAGATTCCAGTTGCAGGGCTGTCCCCAATATCC